TTGCTACCCCCTAAAGTGAGACCACATTTACCTTTCATCAGTCGTTAGCATTTTTAACTAAAGGATCCAGTTCGGAGCCACGTGTGGCATTTGGTTTTATGTCTGGAATAGGACCTCAGTCTTCCCTTGACATGACGTTGACACTTTTGAAGATTTGGGCCAGTTCTCTGGTATTGGTTCTGCAGAAATATCAACAAGATGGGATGCTATGTTCTTCTCAATGTGGCCCATTACTGATGATGTTTCTTTTTTCTTTTTAACATGTTTTTATTGATTTTTTGGAGAAAGAGGAAGGGAGAGAGCGAAACATCAATGTGAGGAAACAACACTGATCCATTGCCCTCCTGTACGCAACAACCTGGGCATGTGCCCTGACTGCGGGAATCGAACCGGCAACCTTTTGGTGCTTAGGATGATGCTCGACCAACGGAGCCACACTGGCCAGGGCAGATGAGGTTTCTCTGACCCCTTGATTAAGGTGTTGTCTGCCAGGGTCCTCCACTCTTCAGTTCCTCTCCACTCCCTACCTGACGCTGCCTTGGCACCAGGCCAACCTCAGGTGAGCCTCCTTCCACCTGGCGAGGGTTCTGACACCTGCTGTGGGCACCACCTCCCTTTCTACCTAACAGCTTTAGGACAATTGTTCAGGAAGAGGAAGAAGAAAATGGGGAGAAAGAGCCTCCTTCACTGTTCAAAGTGACCAATAGTGATGAACAGTAACAACCACTAACACTAACCGGCGCACGGTGCCAGGCACAGTCCAAGCGCTTTAAGTCTTGTGAACGCATCTAATTTTCACAGCTGCCTCTGAGGTAGGGACGCGGTTAGCCACACTTCACACACAGAACGGAAACACTCAGAGATGACGTCACTGGCCCAGGGGCGCCCAGCAGCTGGCAGACCAGGGTTTGATCCCAGTAGCCTGGCATCTGGCTCCAGAAAAAGTACCTTTCATCAACCCAGCCCATCCACCGCCACCCCCACCCACCCCCCAGGCCTCCTCCAGAGAAATTGTTCTGGCTTTGGCCACCTGTGATGTCCGGGTTCCCAAATCCAACGGGCAGGGGTCAGTCCTCACCTTAGCAGCTGGCCACTCCCTTCTTGGAGTGGTCTTTCTGCTGATCCCATGGTGGCCTGCTGCTGGTTTTCGTCCTGCTGTCTGACCACGCTTCCCCGGGCTCCTTGGCCAGCTCCTCCCACTTCTCTCTCTTCCTCTTGGGATTCTAATGGCTCAGGGCTTTGGCTCAAGTTCACGTCTCATTCTCTTTTCTCACATATTCCCATGTCTGGAAATATCACTTGTGTGCTGACAATGTTGATATTGGCCTTTCATATATATTACATTTATTATTATTTATTTAGCCCAAGTAAATAAATAAATAATGATGAGTTTGAGCTCCCAAACTCATGTGCAGCTGCCTACATAGCAAGTCTGCGTGGTTCTCTCTCTTCAAGGCCAATTGGACTCAACAGGTCCAAACCGAGCTATTGATCTTTCCTTAAACTTGCGCCTCTCTTGGTTTTCCTCAAATGAATACAATGTCACCACCACCCAATGGGCAGCTTGCAGCCATCACTGAGTCTCCTCACTACGCCCTCAGTCACTACTCCCTTTTTTAAAGTTTTTATTGAGAGAGAGAGAGAGAGATGAAGGGAGAGGGATAGAGAGATAGAAACATTAATGATAGAGAAACGTCATCGATTGGTTGCCTGCTGCACACCCCCTACTGGGGATGGAGCCCGCAACCTGGGCATGTGCCCTGATTGGGAGTTGAACTGGTGACCTGACGTTTGGTGCACAGAATGACATCCAACCAAACCAGCCACACCAGCCACGCTGTTTCTCTCCACTCTTACTACCGAATTCCAAGCCACCCTCACATCTGTTCCGGACCCGCTAACATTCTCCCACTAGTCTCTGCTTCACTCCTGCCTTCCTCATATCCCTCCTCCACACGGCGGTCAGGGATCTTGGAGAACATACCATCCAATCCTATTCCCCGCTTCCCCCTGGGCTGAGACAAAACACCCATTTCCTTGGCTCACAGCCCTGCATGGAGTGGCCCAGGACTGCTGGTCCAGCTTCATCTCCTGCCCCTGCCCCCCTCGCCTGACACACTCCAACCACACCTGGTTCCCAGGACGCCGGGCCTGCGTCCACACAGTTTCCTCCCACTGGTACTCATCCTTCAGGTCTCAATGCCAATGCCAGCTCCTCAGGGAGACCTGTTCCGCTCTCCATTCCCGACCTCAATCTGGTTCCCTCATTGCTTTCTTTCATAAAATTCAGCACATTCTTCATAAAACTTAGCACATTCTGGTTTAATAAAATGTTGGCTTGCCACTGGGCTCAGCCCTCTTCTCTCTATAGTTTTAGAAATATGAAGGCCAGTTGTTCTCCACTGGGAGGGGCGGTTTTGTTTCTCAGGGGACATTGGGAATGTCTGGAGACTTTTTTTTTTAAATCCACACCTGAGGCTATGTTTCCACTGATTTGAGAGAGAGAGAGAGAGAGAGAGAGAGAGAGAGACATTGATCAGCTGCCTTCCATACATGCCCCAACTGGAAGTCGAACCTGCAACCTAGATATGTTCCCTGACTGGGAACTGAACCCGCGACGGGATGATGCCCAGCCACCAGAGCCATCCAGCCAGGACTGGAGACAGTTTTGATGGTCACAACTGGGAATCTGAGTGTAATCCTGGCATCCAGTGTGTAGAGGCCAGAGATGCTGCTAGAATCCTACAATGCCCAGGGCAGAGAACACAACCAACTTACCCTGCCCCCGAATGTCAGTGGTGGGGAGGCTGGGAAACTGCCCAGATGATCTCACGGAGTCCTGTGCCTTTAAATGTCATCTCTATGTGGGCAGCTCCAAAATTCCCCTCTCTGTCCCAGGCTCATATACCCGGCTACCCACTTGACATCTCACCTGGATGTCTAATACCAGCCCATCAAACTCAACATGCCCGCTCCTCCCTACTCACACCTTCTAGTTGCTCAGGTTAAAATATTCCTGACTTTTTGTTTCACACTCCGCATCCAACCCATCAGCGAATCCTTTCAGCAGTTTCCTCAAAACAGACCCAGCATCGGTCCCTTCCCACCAGGTCACTGCTGCCACCTTGGCCTCCTCCAGCAGCTCCTGTTTCCCCACTCTAGGCTGTAAGTGGGGGGTAAGTCTGCTCACTCACTGTTGTGTACTCTATGCCCAGCACAGTGCGTGGCACAAGAGACACATCTGCTCCGTGAATGAATGAGTGCTACCTCCAGGTCACAGATGAGACACCGGGGCTCAGAGGCTTTAAGTAACCCCCCCGAATGAAACTCACGGAACCAGTTCCCTCGCCTCCCAGACCCGCAGACTACTCCACTGCTCACTCCAAAGAGAGGGAGAGATGGTTTAGGAGTGAGGATATGGGGGTTTGGGGAGCGGTGTTGAGTTTATTTTCTGGTAGGAAGGGACCCAGGGCCATAGGGGCCCCAGGAGAGTTTTGGGGGAAAGATGTTTGAATGGGCAACGGCCTCCTGGGCCCACCTTTGCAGCACCCCAGGTTTAAGGGCCCCGAGTGGAAAGGCACCAGCTGGAGTGTGAACCTACCAGCTCCCCCAACACCAGCCTTTGGCTTCCTGGGGGCCTGGAGCCACCCCCCCAGCCCCTGGCAGCCGAGGAGCCACCCCTGGCCATGGTCCTGTTGCATGGAGGATGCCAACACAGCAGCTCCGGGTCACTGGCTCCAGAGGTCACCTCACAGACTTCCCACAACGAGATCCCAGCTGGGAGGGGCACCTCGGCCCCCACCTCGCCTGAACACCCCGCTCCAGCCCAGCCCCCCACAGCAGGGCCCCCCACACTCACTCTGCCATTCGGTGATGGAGATCATGCCGCAGGCTGCCTGGGGGGCCCCCTGGGTTCAAGCTGGCCGGGGCGAGGAGTACCGAGATCCAAGCTTGTACATGCTCAAGGGAAGCTGACCCTTGGTAAGTTGTGAAAGGAGCCTCCGGTAAATCATTAACTCTCCACACACACCCACACTCACACACACTCACACACACACACACCCACACTCACACACACTCACACACACACACACACACACACACACAAATGGCTGTTGAAAGTCACAGGCTCCCTTCCCCTGGCTCCTCCCAGGGGCACTGTCCCCCCACAGGCTGGGCCCCTGGCGCATCTCATATCCCACCTGACTTATAGGGTCCCCTCTCCCCCACCTCCCTGCCTTCAGGTCGAGTTCAGTGCCTTCTACTCCTCGGCACAACGTGGACTGTACATAAAAGAGCGGAGACCAAGGAGTGCCCAGGCTCCTGCCTGGGTTTGGAGTGTGTAGGGGAAGAGTTGGCATCTGTGTTTCCCTTTGGAAAAGTACAAAATTCATCTTGTATACAGTTGGCTTGTTTTGCGCTTAGTACCCAGGCTATACCCTAGGGGGCGCCAAGCAACCGAGTAAAACCTGTTGCTGCTGGTCTCCTGGGAGTGCCAGACGGAGTTAGACACAAGGGCTCCACCTCCTCTTCCCCTGCTTTGGACTGTGGGGTTGAGCTACCATAGATAAAAGACTGGACTGTCGAGGAAGCCTGGTTCTAGTCTACCCAGCAGGTGAGCAGTCACGGGTGCATCCTTTCCTCCCTCTGGGCCTGAAGAGAGAGGGGTGGGGAGCTCGGAACACCTTCCTCCCACTGTAGGGCAGTGGTCCTCAGCCCCATGAGAGCCAGCATCCCTTTTAGAATGTCCCCTCTCCCCTGAAATGAAGTCCACAGATGACATGGCTAATCTACAGACATCCTTTGTACAAACGCAAGTAAAGCCAGTTGTAACGAAGAGAAATAATGTATAATAAAACACAATGTCTCTCAATATATAAATGCACCGGCAAGACTTACCGGAAGACATAAATGGCGTAGGCAGATTGCTTGCACCTGCTTATAAGAAATAGATTCGAATTTACGGGAAATAGAAGACTAGAGCCATTATGTAATTTAAAACAAACCCACAAGAGTAACAGGGAGTAAACACTAGAATAAAAATGAATGCTAGGCGGGTAAGAACAGACCGGATGTCCTTGCAGATGAAAAGAGAAAGAGGGATAGGACCTAAATTAAGTAGGGACGAGAAAGCAAGGCAAGTGAGGGAGGGCCCCGTGGGGCAGAAGGAGCCAGCGTGAATGCCCAGGCGCTGGCCCTCGCTCCCTGTGTCACGGCACGGAATGGGGAAATGGTGGCGTATCACACACACACAGATCCGTCCTGAAACGCCACTGTGTGTTCAGGTAAAATTCCATTTGGAGGATCTTCAAGGCCTTGGAGCTCACATATTTCCGATAGGTGATGGGAATAGAGGGTGGATTGGAAAGAGATATGGTGAGATAAGTGGTTCAACCAATTGCATGTGGAGCCCTGGGACAGTATGAGAGGAAGATAAAAAACTAACAGGCAACGCCCCCAAACAACTCCACAGGCAATCCTGACAACATAGGTGTGCATTCCTGGGCTGCAAACTTTAAAAATATAAAGGTTAGCGATAATAGGAAATAACTTCTAAAAACATTTATTCAAGAGATCCAATGAGATCCCCCGCATTTCAAGTAACTTTGCTTTAACGCTGTTTGGTTCTCTCAGATCTCCTCTGTTAAATATTTATATTACATTCAGTGTCTACTTATTCAGCAAGGCCCTCCTGCACTGGAGTCATTTTCAACCAAACATACAGGGCCGCAACGTTATAATGAATTGTGTAGGCAATGCAGGCGGTAGATTATTCAATGATTTTGAGACAACGTTTTTATTCCATTTAAGTTCCTGCTCCTTAATAAGCATCTCCTAACTTATTGAGCTACTCATGAAACTTCTAAAAAACTTAGAGGCTTATAAAAACTCTTCAGTACTGCTCTGAATTGCACGACTCATATGGAAGCTGTGTGGGCCCCTTGCACGTTATAACGGTGTGCAGGACACAGGACCAAGACCTTGTTTGCGTGCACATCCCCAGTAGGAGGTGTGCAGGAGTCACCTCATCTATATTTCTCTCCCATCAGTGTTTCTAACTCTCTCTCTCCCTTCCTCTCTGAAATCAATATAAATATATTTTAAAAAAGAAAAGAAACCACTGGTAAATTAAGAGCTTAGGCTCTAGAGCACCCCGGGCCTCCTTCTAGGTCCCCGAGACCTGGGCATTTTGTGTCCTTTCTGGTGCCCCAGGTCCTTGGGTAATGACAGTACCTTTCACATAGAGCTTAACGAAGATCAGAGTAAATTCATGCGATGGGCAGAGGACCGGGCACTGGCCCTGGCACACACTTCATGAGCCATTGTTATTAGTCTTCTCGCATAGTTATAACAATTACTGTCGTCATTAATGTTTCTGCTATGCGTACGCTAACAAATACTGTTCTACGGAAGACTTCTCTCATCGGGGGAACTTGTGGTTCTAAACTACTCCCATAGGTGAGCAAACAGCAGCGTTGAATTCTCTTCCCACCATGGAGCTTACCTGTGAGCTAGGAACAAACTCCTGGATCTGGGCCCTCCTGGCTCGAGTCCCAGATCTCAGCACTGGGCACTGGAGCCGGGCCCAGCGTGGTTGCCCACTGCCCACCCTCCTGAGAGGAGCCTCTTCACGTGGACAACCCCTGGGAGGAGGATGCAGACCCTGGAAGGCTGGGGCTGGCCCTCAGCCTATGGCCTGGCTGCGTGGTCAAGGCCTGGGGGAGGGCCCTGGGCCTAGGCTGGAGGAGTCGAATTGGGCAGCGGAAGGAGGGCTGAACGGCAGGAGCCCTGGTGACATATCTTGCAGCAAAGGGGAGACCTCAGGACACATTCTCACTCTCCCCTCATCCCTGCAGGCAGCTGAGTGACCTCCACAGCAGCATCCTCCACCCCCGACATTTGTAAGTGAATTCGAACTTATTTTCTAATTGATGTATATTTTTATTGATTTCAGAGAGGAAGGGAGAGACAGAAACATCACTGATGAGAGAGAATTGTTGATGGGTTGCCTCCTGCACGCCCCACACTGGGGATCGAGCCTGGGCCCTGGGCCCTGACCCGCAATAGAACCGTGACTTCCTGGTTCATGGATAGATGCTCAATCACTGAGCCATGCCGGCCGGGTGCATTCAGACTTTCGAGTGTTTTTCTTCTGTTTTCTCATTGGAACTTCCTGAGGGCTCTATAAGATGGTATTAACATTCCCATATCACAGATGAGGAAACTGAGACGCAAGGATTGTCTTCATGGCGCTAAAAGGAGCCGAGGAGGAGATGAGCCTGATGTCATCTTCTCTGGGATCCGTCTCAGGGACGTGGGGCCAGTTCTTCTCTGGAGGCTGTGGGGTGGGAGGTGCCGGTGGCCTGGTTCCACGGCAGCGGCAGGTGGAAGCCCGGCTCCTTCCTGGCACTGACATGCCCTCTTTAGGAATGAATGGCCACGCAGTCAGAGCACCGCTCCGAAAGGGCCTTCTGCTAGCTGCTGCTTTACTTGACAGCCCCAGCCTGGCTCCATCCGAGGGCGGCGTGGGCCCCGAGGTGGGGCAGACAGGGACCTGTGGGCATCATCCCTGGAGAGGAACCGGCCTTGTTGGTGGGTACAGTGGTGCCCGTGGTGCTCCCACATGCCTCCTCCTCTCCAAGCCGCGGGCTCTGGCCTGGGTGGGGCCGCAGATACTGAGGCAGCCCCGAAACGGACAAGTTCTCCACTACGCCTTCCCAGCCCTAAGGCCTCTGTCTTGAGTCTACATCTGGCCCCAATTCTCCCCGATTCACCAAGGATATCAGGGTCTATAGTGCTCCCCGGGATGCCACAAAGTCCCCAAAATAGTCACTTTATAGCGACTTTACTAGCCCCTTAGGGATGAGGATAGGTGTCCAGGATTCAAAATCAGCCATTAGAACCAGCCCAAGGCAAAATCGGCAATTAGAGGAAGCTTGCCTTCCCGTCTCCTCTTTCTCAATTTTCTTCTCTTCCCTGAACCACCACCACCTCCCTCTCCCCCCAGGCATCCCGCTTCACTCCAGCTGGACCGGCCGCAGTCCTGGGTTCATTTCTCTCCCCACCCCCACCCCCCAGAATTACAGGGCTTCTGGATTCTGTTCACAGAAAGATTTCAAACTGAGAAGCTTTAGTTCAGTCTTCCACACTGAGTGCCAATAAGCGATAAGCACCGAGTTCCTACCCAGAGAAATGGACCAAAGGCATTGAGGCAGGATGCAAAGAATTTGAGTGTCCTGATAACATGCCCCCAGCCCCCCTGCCCAATCATATGCCTTCTTGTCCCTTACAGCAGAAATACAGGACATCGCGTGGTCACCGAGAAAGGCGGAGAATAACTTTTCTCCTACAGTCCTACCCTCAGCCTCGGAGACCCAATCAGGGGAGGTTCCAGGGCCCGGAGCGTCTGATGCCCCCGGTATACAGACCTAAGCACAAGCCTTGATCTGGGGTCTCCTGAGCCAAGAAGATGACTGTGGTGTTCGCAGCGTAGCATCATCCCCGGGACGCAGGGAGGTGGCACTCTTTCGAGAACTCTGGGATAGCTGCCTGGGAGGGAGGGGGAGATGCAGCTGGGGGGAGAGGGAGTGGGGGTGGCGGTCCACGTGCTTTGAACCCGCTCTGCTCTTCGGGAAGGCCTGGCCCCAGACCCACCGTAAATGGCCATGAACCCCGAGGCCAGCCAGCGGCAGACATGGACACAGAGGGCAAGACACGCACCACTTGTACAAACCATTTTATTTCCGGTGTTGGCTTTATACAAACTCACAATATACAAATGCGGAGCTCACAGGAGCTCTTCAGCTGCTGAGCGCGGACCCCAACTCTAGCCTGTCGGGCAGGTGCCCCTTCCCGGGTGGGGCTTCGGCTAGAAAGGTCCCAGGGGCTGCTACAGCTGCCAGTCCCCTGGCAGAGATGCTGTCTGTCTATCTAACCTGAACTCTTCTAAGGTCACTTTTATGCTAAATAAAGACACTGAGATCAGACATTTCCTTGTACAGTTTATTGTCTAATAACTAGCAAATCAGATTGGCCCCAATATGTGCATAAATAGATATATGTATATATATATATAGGTATGTATATTTCATATTTTCCCTTAGTTTTAAGAGCTTCCAGGTGGGGGTGCCTGAAGGGGAAAGGAATTGGGTTCCTCTTGCTATAGTCAGCCCTGCCCCAAGAACACGCCTCTCGCCAAGGCAGAGGGCAAGTGTGCACAGCTTGCAACCTCAGAAAAATCTTTAAAGTGACAGTAGCAATATCTGATTGCAGCCTCTCGGTTATTGATCAGGGAGGTCATGTGCTAATTGGGAAGGCTCTGGATCAGTAACCAGGAGTGTACCCAGGTGGGTGTCTCAGCCCTGGGCCTCCATCTGGGCCCCATCCATCTGCAGCCAGATGCGCGAGGCTGGACGCAGGGGCCGGTAAGTGGTCAAGCTGGCAGGTCAGGCTTCCAATGCTGGCCGGGAGCTCTGCGCCAAGTACCAACCCCCCGGATTCCAGACCTGGACAAAAGACTCCCATCCTGCCCAGATCCGTACAAGGCAAGAGCCCCTTGCCCACTTCCAGTGGACAAGCATTTTGGAAGACTGAGCTGCCTCAGTCCGGCAGCCCAGGGGCAGCGGCTCCTGGCAAGGCTGAGCTGCTACATTGTCCGTGGGACCCTCCTCAGCCCAGCAGCGGACTCCGCAGTCTGGATGCCAGACCGAAGTGCCAGGCCCTGAGGAACAGCCCCCAGAAGGAAGGTCACAGAGTAAAACAGGTGCCATCAACGCGACCCAGAGCAGAGAGAGGCCACGTGAAAAGGAGTGTGGGAAGTCGTCCAAGGAACTCAAACATGTCTGTGCTGAAGGGCCAGGGATCCCAGACCACTTCCTTTGGCCTTTGCACCATATCCTGGGTCCGTCAAGGGACAGACTGACATTCATGTTTGGCACAGGCGGCTATGAAACTGCCTGCCCCCTGCAGCAGGTGATGGGGGAGGTCTGGGAGCACATCGTTGGGAGGGGCCTGTGTGGGTGGCCCTGTGCACACACTTAAACACTTTCTTCCATAGGATTCATACCCGAGAACTCTAGCGGGTCATCAAGAGCGGACAGTGTAACCAAACCCTCAGACCAGGACTTCTGAGAGCACATCCTGCCCTGGGGAGATGCCCAGGGGTGAGCTCTGGGGAGTGGCCCTCTGCCGACTGGGCAGTGGGAGGAGGGAGCAGCTGGGGGCGGGGGGCGGGGTGGAGGCTGGACCTCGAGGCAGTCACCCCAGTCTCCTCCCGCTGTTGGCCAGTTCCATTTAGACATTGCACATTTGAAAATAGATCTGCTTTTATAATAAAAGCGTAAAATAGATCTGTCTTAAAATAAGTCTTTCTCTCCCCTTCTTTGGATCCAAGGCATGGGGTACAGCCGCGACATGCTAAGAATGGCGTGGAGAGTAAAGGAGAGAAGACAGGCCTAGGCAGGAGTTCTCGGCAAGGGTCCGACACCCAAACCAATATGTATCTTACATATAAACCTATCATATGCATAATCTTCATAAAACATATATTAAGGCATGTAAAGCAACATAAAGGGCCAGCTTTATGGAATAGGAGGTGAGAGAGGTGACAGACGAGCAGACATTGATCCTTGGTATTTTCCATGTATTTCTTAAAAATATCACTTTAAAAAAAGGAGAGACAGATCAAGGAAGGGGAAGGCATGGAAGGCCCTAAAAAATCTGTGTCTCGTGGATGGAGAAAGGTGAGGG